AGATCTGATACTTGCACTTTTGTCGCATTGTTCGGAACATTGTAAAAAGTTGAATATAATTTAATCTAATGGTTAAACTTTTGAACAAATTTATAACATTCCAAGTTTGACCTGTAAAGACATGTTTCATCCCAAATCCGCTAATTTCTACACACAACACATCAAGAATGTAACTTTAGCAATTCGACAACATTGCAAAATAATGTGTTTATGCAAATGTATCCTCCGAATTACACAGAAGACAAAGTTTAAAGCAATTGCACTTTTGAATAATTGTAAACTAATTTCATTGTGTGCTTTTTTGTCCTATAAGTCTCCAATTGACAAATGTTGAAAATGATAATGGTCTTGCTGTGAGACGAGACACAGTGCATCTGGCCTGTCCAATGTGTCCATATCCAAGACATAAATAAATAAATAAAATGTCTCAACAGTGGAAACATACTCACACAAATTACCCCCCCCCCAAAAAAAACCATAGTAAAAAATAATTACACAAACAAATAGTAAAAATCTTACCATAAGTCCATTGGTCTCTGTTCATTGAAGTCTTGCCTGATACTAAGAAGGACTCAACCACTGTTCTAATATTGTAACATACACATACACACGCAGACACGCACACACACACACACACACACACACACTGATACTATAAAGACGCACATGTGGTCTTCCTGTATGAAAACGCTCAGAGCTCATTTTCCACTGACGACTTTGTTACAGGAGGCTGTGACGGCTGCTCGAGATAAAGATTTATTCGAAACAATAATACAAAGATAAGAGAACAACATGGACATCTCTATCAGGGCTGTCAGACATGGATGTTTTCATGAAGGGAACAATCAAATGTAGTCTATATACACAGAAATAAGAAAAAAATACTATTAGTCATATGGCATTTTAAGTGTATTGCTATATGTGGTAATAAATACTTTCCTTCTATGTGTTTGTATCTGGACACTGACCCCTGCACTAAACCACACATTTCAATCACAATTAGTAATCATTCTCTGCAATAATAATGCAATTGCAAGAACTAGTATGACACAGAATATTTGGTTCAATCCAAATTTCCCCAAAATTGATTAGTTTTCCTCCAGATGTATCATGAACAAGTTATTTACTTTACTTTACTTTTACTCACTTTAAACAAGCCCTAAAACTATAGAACGCAATGGAAATACAGTTTGTTGATAGGGTAATGCTAAAGGCTCATGCTAAAGACCTGATGTTAACTGCTGCAAGAAAAACATGCGTTGCTATGGTAACTAGCAACCGCTCTTCTCATAACTGTGCAAAGTCTACCAACGAAAGATTGTCCGACCTCATAATAAAGAAACGTGATGTTAGTCAGGACCAGAGCATTGTGTATGTGTGTATTTAGCACAGACTGTAAATATTAACAGACATAGTCACGCATGTCAAGAGATCCTTTGTTCCTTCTGCTGTCAGACTGTACAACAAACCCGGATGAGTCTTCTGCTGCTGGACACTTGGATTCCTCCTACAAGGGATCAATAAAGTATCTATCTATCTCCGCTGTTGCAACTGCTGTGCCACCACTTCTGCCTTCTGAGGGATTTTTTTTAAATGGCCATGGGGCAGGAACATGGATCTATTATAACGTCTGGATGGGGTATTACTAGATTATAGCTGTCCCATTACCACAGCTTTGGTTTTGTGGGGATTTTAGTGTCCCTTCCCATCCTGAGCTTTTTCTTTCTATATCCTTCAATTTTCTTTAAATAGATCAGGACGCCATCTTGGATCGCTGGGGCTTGGGCAAGAAAATGTGGAAAAATGCATTTGCGCATACGTTAGCCGGCATAAGCCCCATTCATTAAACAAGTGCAATCAAAAGTCCACAGCGGCTAAACTAGGCTAGTCCAAAAAAATATACTCCCCTCAGCATTGACACGCATCTGGAACGTAGCGTTGAGCCAAGAGCCGACTTTTGGACTCTCCTGTAAAGACATTGGGTAATTCTCTTTCCGGGTACACCCCCACCAGCCAGGGGTGGTTTTGCAAGCATGTCAGCGCACATGCTCATGGACCTTTTCGAGCCGGGATCCGCCCCCATTGGTACTTAGTGAACACTTTAATTAATCCTTTTTTATTTTTTAACTTTTCTAACTTATCTGCACCATGTCTTGTCCCATTTGCATAATCTTTTGCAGTGAGGTATTTTCCATATATTGTTTCTGATTGAGTATGTGTAAACCCAACGCATCTCTCAAAGTGATAGAAGAAATGTTTCCAGGTGAATGAAAGCTGTGAAAGTAAAACATGGACAGGCGTACGCGCTCAACAGTCAATATTGCACTTTTATTTTCTCTTACAAATCCCTAATGTACATGCATTAGCAGCAGTGAACGCTGTCAGTCTGAAAAACACACACATATTTTATCCAAACATTTTAAGTACACTTTGACCTACTGCAAAAAAAAATTCTAAACAATTTAACACTTTTGAACAAATGTTGAACAATATTTTTCCGTGCAAGAAAAAGTCTGCTATAGGGATGGTCAATGGCTCTTATTTAGTACGTTTACAATCTGAAAATTGGTTAAAAACCCACATACAAAATAGACGAGTCTGCTCTTTTGTATTCAGGTCCGACATATCGCTCTTTATCCAATATGGTGTCAAAGCGAAGCCAAAGATCTAGTGAGAGATAAAGCTTTTCTGTATTCTTTGAGCAAAAATCACTGTACAACGCTGCAGATCGTCCACGCATCGCAAACTCGGAAAATAAAGTTGACAAAGACAGAGAAAAAACAGAGGTCGCTGTGGTCAGAGGTGTGAAGGGGGAGAAACTGCATCTCGAGACTCAACAAGAGCAAACAGAAGACTTTTGTAAATGTCCCCTTTAATAGTAGAACTCAGAAGAACTTTGATGTATAGAATTATTTTTAACTCCCATTTATTTGCATGTCACTTGGCAACCAACTTTCTTTGGCAGTGCCGTCTCTCCGAGGTCCTGGTTCTGAGCCGAGTGCTAATTACCATAGCAACGCATACTATGTTAGCATTTGGCTGTGTTTCAGTTATATTCACCAGAATTATATTCACTTAGTAAAGGTGACTAAAATGAAAAAAAAAAAAAAACACTGGAAAACTCACTTTTTTGGGGAATTTTTCAGAATTCCATGGATTTGAATAAAAGACAAGTTTAAAAAATCTGGAAGTCCTGTTAAGAATGACGACAACAAATTACACTTTTCATTCTCTGTCCAACACACAACTTCAAACATCATTTTAACTATTTATAAATGATGGCTGAGTGAGGGTGGTCCTCTCTTTTTCACTTTCATGTTCATGTTCATGTTCAGATGTGACAAACCAAACTATACCCTTACCCTTATATTACATTTTTGTGGTCCAAAAGGTAGGTATCCCAGCTTTAATAACACACATACCGTATGGAGGATTTTTGACGGGTCAATACCTACTGGCCATACAAGAAGAACTTGTCCATTGTTTGTTAAATGACCCAGTTTCCAGGTGACTGTTCTCTCTGGTCCATCCACTGTGGAAATCATATGCAAATGTCTTCTCCTCTGCAGACATTTGACTGCATACATTAACACTAGAATTTCCAGAATTCTGAAACTACTAGAACTCCCAAAACTGGGATTTTGACTTCTCTCATTCGAAACAATGAGAGCAGTCAAAATGAGAGAAATTCCCAAAAAATGATTAGTTTTCCAGCAAATGTATCAAAGTTATTTATGGAGGTACTTTTACTCACTTTAAAAAAGCCCTAAAACTAGAGAACAGTTTTTTTTAAAACTGAAATACAGTGACTACAGTTTGTAGAAAGGCTAATGCTCATGACTAACGCTAAAGACCTACGTACTACAAGTAAACAATGCGTTGCTATGGTAACTAGCAACTGGTCTTCTCTGGCTTGAATCGAAGTTAGGTTCAAACGGTAGAAATGAGAATTTCATACAAAACATTGAAATAATCTACACATAGAAGCAGAATAAGTCACAAAGTCCAGAAGAGCAAAAAATACAAGGAGTACACACACGACCAAAACTAAAAGCCGTCAAATTGACTGCTCTGGGAATTCTCGCGTTGAGCTGCATAACAAATCATAACTTCTTTTATGTTTAAGGCTTCAAAGTTAAAGAAGCTTGTACTGCACTGCAAAAAATGATAGAAGATGAGGTCATAATTGCTAGAATCAAGTGGTTTTTATCCTAATTTCAGTGCATTAAGTACATTGATCTTAATAGAAGATTTGCCAATGGGACAAAGTCTTATTTCAAGAACTGTGGAAATGTCTCCCCTGGAATATTTTCTCATTCCAAGGGACACATTTCTTGTATCTTTCTAAGACAGGAAAAAAACAAGATATTTTTTCTTGTCCATTGGCACAGTGTTTTAAGGCAGACAGAATGTGCTCAAACCAAGATAGAATTTTGCTAAATGTTAGCAAGTTTGGACTTATTTTTCAACACTTTTTGCTGTGCAGCTTCTTTACCGTTGTGTCTTGAAAAGAAACTTCTAAGCCGTAAATCATAACTTCAGTACGGTCAATGTTTAGAGGAAGAAGTCTGCTGAAGAAGGCAAGCGCGCCCACGCATTTTCCGATTGATTGGTCCGTAAGAAAATGCTTGTGGCGAAGAGGAGGTGCAGCGTGAGACTGGAAGTTTAGAGACAGGTGCAAAATATATAAATAATATGTTTTACAAGAGGTGCGATCAAATCTACATTCACTGTTGTCATGGCTTAAGGCAAGGCGGGTCTAAAAAGCAAATTGGCAAAAGGATTCTCACTTAAAAAAACAAAACAAATCGAACACATGCTGACAAACTGTACACATAAATATTTGAATAATTCTTCACCTAATCAAATAAAATACAATATATTATCATTCCGTTTACATTCGACAAACATAAAACTGTTTTACAATCGAAGCTGCAACCCTCTCAGGGCACGTTTTTCATCCAACAATTGTCTTTTTCTCTGCGGTTTGGTGAAAAAGTTTAACTGTGCTCGTCCATCTCCTCGTCGCTCCAGTCCGGAGGCGCGTCCGTCCCAAAGTAACGATCCCCAAAGTTTCCTGTGATGAAAGAAAAATATAGTTGAGACTTTCATAACTAAAGATGAATGTGTCTGAGAGATATGACCAAAGGTAGAAGTAGTTTTACAGATTTACAATGCACCAAGAGATCATACTCAAACTCATATGTATCTGTTGTTTTGTTGTCTGGTAATGGCAAATTAACTGAATCAAGAAGGTCCTAGGTTCTAATCCTGATCAGAACAGGACCCTTCAGAGTGGAGTTTGCATTTCTCCCAGTGTTTGCATTTTATGGTGATGTTGGTTATATCTCAGCATTGTGGAAACCCTGGTATAGACGCCTCCTCTGAACAGATTTGGGGACTTCTTTTGTTTTATGTTTCTTGTGTGTAGTGTGTTGTGTATTTTTGTTCTGGACTACGAGTCTGTAATTAAGCTATCCATCCATCCATCAATTTCCCTTTCATTAAAAACATGTGCAATAGGTAAAACCCTCCAGCTCTGGTAATCCTTGCTGAGAAGGACTATTTGTGTTGTAAGAATAATTAATGACACAAGACATTGAAACTAACATCAGACAGTCCCACATTGTTTTCATTGAATAGTAAAATGGCATACTTGTAAGGAAGAGTTACTATTTGACTCTTTGATGAGAGATGACTGGCTGAGGGCTTGGATAATTCTCATTTCTGATGGAAAAGCTGCTCTAATGATACAAATTATTCATGCCGGTAAGTTCTTGTTATGTTACGAGAGAAACCTAACATAACAAGTTGAGTCACTTCCTCTTGTCAGTGTGAAATCCAGGCATCCCAGCTTTAACAGAGAAACATGTGTACTGTTTGTATGTACGCCATGTGCTCTGTCAGTGCATCTGTTTGAAAGCTACAGTCTGAAGTGTCCGTGACTCACCGATGCCTGGTATAATGTGGAACAGATCGTTGACCTTCTTGTCCACAGCCGTTGTGATGATCTTGACCTGTGGAAAGGCGTAGGCCACCGAGTGCACGCCCATCTCCGCCATGAGCAGAGACACCAGCAGAATCTTATCCTCCTGCACATCATGGTCCTGAAGGGAACAGAAAGCATGGATGTTTTTAAAAATCATTTTGTGAAACCATGCTGTACACTGAAAAAAGTGATTGCAAATAAGTCAAACATGTCTCAAAATTCTGTTAACAGACAGAATGTACGCAAATTAAGGTAAAAACCATTCGATTCAAGAAATGATTACCTCATATTTTATCATTTTTTTGTATAATATTTTGCAGTGTATGTCTTCACAAACTTCTGATCTAACAATGAACGACAACAAACAAATGTGTCCATGAGTGAGGCATTGGATCACAGTGGTCATCTGGGGTCTGGAGACATGTTTACTAGAAATGTAGAAAACTAAACTCTTTCCGCTTCTTCTCTGAAAGCTTTTCTTTTTAGATCAAAAAACTAATTTCTAAGTTAAGTTGTCTTTTGATGAATTATAAACTTAACATAAAGAGTGTTGTACATATTATTGAGACCCCTGGACCAAGTTTTCAGTGAAGAGACAGAATCTCATCAAGACTTGGTCGGAATACATTTGGAGAAAGAAAAATCACATGATTCAAGGCAGGTCTGTGAACCCTCCTCAAGTCAGGACTGTTTTCTATGCAATAAAATAATCCAAGTGAAAAAAAGCTTTGAGACTTAAAATCCAGTTCTCAGTCTTACTTTCAGAAGATTTGTGGTGACTAGTCTTCCTGTGACCCATTCTACAAAGGATTAGGGAGTTGAAATAATTCTAGTAAATAGTGTTAAGTAAAATCTTTATTTATATGGCGCCTTTCACAGACAGAGTCACAAAGCACTTTTCAATTGCTGTGGGCATTTACCCTCGCCTCTACACACTCCTGGAGGTAACCTACACAGACACGGGGGAGAACATGCAAACTCCACACTCAAAGGCCTGGAAGTGGAATCGACCTGGATCGTCCAGGACCTTCTTGCAGTGATGCCTGTTCTACACCCAAATCTGGATCCAGATGACAACTTAAAACCTTAAAACCTATTCTGCGATTGCATTCTAACACAGTCATAACTACAGAAGAGGAATCCATGTGTTTGGGTTCAGAAAGAGCACGATTATAGAGATAGAGTGACCCACCAGCAGCACACGGACGGCCATCATGGCGGCGGCTCCGGTCGACACGGTGCAGTCCATGAGGATCACGTGGTCTTCTCCGATGTCTTTGGGCAGACGCAGGTAGTGAAGCTGCAACAGAGAGACTCCGTTCAACAGGATGTGGCTCAAAAGTCACACAAACTGAACCTAAAGCATTACGACATATGCAGACGTGATATGGGCCAGCAGCTAAAACATACAGTACACCAATTTGTCATAACCTCAGAGACATGACTATAGTAGTGCAAGTTTTTCAATTCAATAAAAATGGATCTGTCCTGGTGAAACTTTTTGTCCATTCACTTTTGATTCTGAAAGCTTAAAGAGCCCTATGTAAAGTCTACATTAGGAACAATAAAAGAATTCTCCTAATTACTTACTAATTATTCGACTCTAAGTTGTTTTAAACCTTATTTGTTGCATTTTGGGATATTTTTCAAATGCTTAATATATCAATACGTTTCGAGGATTATTTCTTTTAATTTACTTTTACATTTTCTACCATCCATCCTCTTTCTATACCACCTAAAGAGCCTTATTAAAAATCTACTTTAGGAACTTAGAATTCTTCACATTTACACACTCAAACTTGCAAACTTCTTTTCAACTAGGTATATCGGGAGATTCCCAATGCGTGAATATGTAAAAATGATCGATATGTTTCAAGGACTATTCTCTGATTTACTTTTAACTTTCTACCATCCATCAACTTTCTTCAGCTTTATCCGTGTCTGGGTCGCAGATGCAGCAGTCTGAGCAGAGACACTAAACCTCACAATACACACACACATCCTCCAGCAAGGTCAAGATGGAGCGGCTCTAACCCAAGCTCTTCCCACCCCCACTTTATTTAAGCATCAACAAGGCATTATTTTGGAAACAGATTTTTAAATGCATCGGCCTGTCATGTATTCTGTCATAGTAATAGTTACATGTTGACTGATAAATAAGGCAGACATTTTAAACTTCTTCCATTCGGCTGTTATGCTACCATGGAATTTGAAAATAAATCTTCTCAAAAAATATATATATATAAACAGCTACACAATTTATGTTACTCTAAAAATCAATCCCAAAACCGTAATTAGTGAAATTTAAAAAAATGTAAGGTCAGTTAAAAGTACTGCCTTTTTACTTTTGGGGCAGTCATTTGTCTACAACATTTACAAAGACCTCCAGAACAATAATATCCAAACCCGATAAAAGGAATTTGTTCAAAAATACTTCAATAATGTAGCAAAGTACCTACGCAAAAATAACCACAACGTTATAGTTATAAACCAAATTTCCACAAATAAAATACTGGACTCATCTTCTACTTTTGCTAATTGCTAACTAGCATACTAGCATTAGCCTCAACCCCACGTTTATCTGCTACCTTAGAACAAAAACAAATTGAATACACAAAAATAACCACAACTTCAATAGATAAATTATAAACCAAATTTCCAAAAATAAATTACTGGATATTTTCCTTCTAACTAGCATAGTTAGCATTAGCTGTTTCCTCATGTTTATCTGCAACCTATCAGCCTCAGAAACCCTACATTGGCAGGTCTCTAATAATAACATATTTTTAAAGTCTGGCCTTGTTTTGTGTTTGTGAGCTCCACCTCTGGTTCTCCGGTGTCCTGGTTGGTCTGGATGAGGATCTTGCCGATGCGCACGTCTTTACAAACAGCTCTGAGGGCGGGCTCCATGGTCTCCCCGGCTCGCAGGATGGACACTCCTGTGATCTGTAGCAAAACAAAGTAAATGAAGGTTGAATTTGTGAAGGAGTGAAGAGAGACAAAACCCCAAAAGTCATTAAGTGGAAGGATGTTTACTCGCCCTTTTGCCGTTGGAAGATCGGCCTTCGTAATCCTCTCCCTGCGGCGTCTGGACGAGATTCACCTGAAAAGTTAGACGTCATGTATTAAGATTAAGATTAAGAAAGGAAGAGATCTTTTATTCGTCCCACAGTGGTGTTGCATCACAAGTTACGGACAGTTGGAAAGAGGAGCACACAACACAGGATAAATGAATATTAGGCTCTATTGCTGTGTGAAATACAGGTTCCGCAGGTCTGCACTGCTGTTGCCATTTCTTTAAATGCCATATTTTTATTTTATAGAACATAATATATCCTGAACAGACTATATTTTTTGCCTCTAACATGTTCGCACACGTTTGTCTTTTGCACAAATCTGAATGATTCTTTCTATGCCAAATGTGTAAATTTCTCTTATGTGAGATCAATAAAGTGTATCTTATCTTCCTTCCTGCTGCTGTCAGACTGTACAACGAACAACGAGGACTAACAAACACTGCTGACTCGACCTCACAAGTCGTGCGTCTGTGCAATTATTTAAACTATGTCCGAATGTGCAATACAGAACCACATGTATCCACAAAATGTGTCACTTTGTCCCATACCCTCACGCTGCTAATATATATGCTACAATATAGAGTACTTTATACATACTTCTTTATTGTGTTAAGGTTAAAGAATTTAAACTTGCTTCTTTGTTATGCTAAGGCTAGATAATCTAAACTAGCTTCTCTGTTATGCAAAGTTAGAGATTCTATATTTGCTTCTTAATTATGTCAAAGTTTGGGATTTTATTTTATTTTAGCAGTTATTATTCATCTTGTGCTGTGTGCTCCTCATTCCTGCTGTTCTGTAACTGGTGATGCAAATTTACCCACTGTGAGACAAAAAAAGGATCTCTAATCCCCACGAGAAACATTGTTACTGTTGAAATTATTTATGATCACTGAATTTTAAGCTCTGTCTAAAGATAAAAAAGCAGTGTTTCATGTGTTTGAAAGTGTGGTTTGAATTTCCATTGCAGTACTTTGTCACAGTTTCCAAACCAACAACCTCAGTTTGAATATGTCAACGTAAACTAAAACAGCTCGACCTCAGCAGAGAACAGACAGAGAACCTACAACTTTTAGTGTCCCTTGTCATCCTGAACTTTTTTTTCTTCTGAAATGCTTTGGTTTTCTTTAAATCCACACTTTAATGCCACAAACTCTGCTCGATTATCTCCTGCTATAGCTCCGCACTGATGAGCAGCTCTAATTGTTCAGGATGCTGCCGTGGACCTCTGTGCACATGCATGAGAGCCACACACGCGTATTTGGCGCAAAGCCTCATGAGATGATGCGCAGAACCGGGAGGACCAGAGAAATGACCAAATATGGGTGAGTTCTGCTGATCTTTCGGTGCCCATGGCGACACAGGTGCCACTGAGCACAAGCAGTGGATATGAATTAGGGTTTAATCCCGAGACACGGGATTCCCGGGAAATCTGATCAAAACTATTTCCCGATTCCCGGGAAATGTTATGACGGAAACCGGGAAATTAAAGTTAAAAAAAAAATCTAGTGCGCTCCAATTATAGAGCACGTTTATTGTTGTTCAAAGTTGAAACATATTTCATTTACAATCAACATGTCTACAGCTGAGAGGATGGCTCATAAATTGTGTTTTTGACAACAAATATGGGTCTTAATCGCGCTAAACCACGACTTGTAATGAGGCCAGCCTCAGGGTACGGGGCACATGAGAGCCCAGAATTTGGCTACGTCCAATTCTATCAGAAAGCTCCTTTCTTTTTTTTCCATCTGCTAAGGGCAGCAACAGGTTTGGCTAACATACATATAACACATTTTAAGATCATATAAAATGCATTTAGGGTAATGTTCTGCTTCCAGTGACGATAGGAATGATAAGGAAGAGAGGAGAAGGGTAAGAAGGTTGATATTAGAAATTGGATGCGCCCGAGAGCCGGCTGCAGCGAACACACGGAGGAGTTTATGGAGGTGGCACCCGTTTTGTTTTACGCTTTAAAACTCTTTGGGCTTATTTCCAAATGGGGGATTACATATCTGCGCTCAAACTATTATCTGGACTTAAACATGAAACTGGTCTGAACTGAAGTGGTCTGTGCTGTTCATTAATAACTAAGGTAAGACCCATAACACAATTGGAAATGTGCCTTTTACGAACTTTTGCGTTTTGTTTGAGCAAACAATGCGGGCCATGGAAAACATTCTGCTGTAGCCAAACTAATTGTGAATAAGCCGCTTTGTAGGTTCTGTTGATTTTTATGATATATGTTCATCTGTTTGGGCTGAAGTCAGTGCCTCCAAACCACACCGCACGTCACTGGTCGACAAGTGGATTGTGCAGACATTTAGAATCTCATATTAGTGAAATTCCTGAAGAAAGCCCATCAACAAAACGTCTGAAAACGCTATGGCTACTTTAGAAAAGCTAGCAAGTCGCTTGGTGAAACACTAGTGGAGACGGCAGCTTTTGTTGGATTATATATTTGAGTGATATCATACATTACTTGGGCTAAAAACAACAACTACAAACAACAGCTATTTCCCGGGAATTCCCGGGAACGGCGTCGTCTTTTCCCGGGATTTGATATGGCTCATTTTCGGGAAAAATATTAAACCCTAATATGAATAGGCCGACATCTTGGATCACTGGGGCTTGCTTGAAACTTTGTGCCTTTGGAAATGATCCAATAACTCCTCATTGGTCAAAATAATGTGAGAAGAAAATAATGTGAAAACTTAGAAAGTTAATATATTATCTTTATTAACCTATTAACTTAGGTTAATATATTTTGTCATACAGTATTGAGTATCGAATGAATTAAGATATTATTTAAATGTTATGTCCAACTCTGCTTAGAAGAGGGAAAGTAAAATCTGACAGGGCCTTATTGGCATGTTCTCCCCATGACTGTGTAGGTTTCCTCCAGGTGCTCCGGTTTCGCCTACCAGTAAAAATATGTAAACTAGGTCAGGGTGAATCAGTGTGTGTTTGTACAACACCCAAACACACTATCCCATTCAAATAAACTTCCAAAATGCAGTTTAAATACAGACACACCAACACAGACACTTACACAGACACACACACACACACACACTTACACAGACACACACACACAGACCAGTGGTACCTGTGAGGGGAGGAAGGACAGTGCTCGTTCAATCAGCAGCCGCATCAGCCTCTTGGAGTAGAAGATGAACTCATCACGACTGGTTTCTTTATTTCTGAAAAATTAATAACCAGGATCATGAACACATCTACAGTAATATGTATGAATGCAAACATAATTATGTGGCAGAGAGCAGAGAGGGGCGGGAGCGCACCCGGACAGCGCTTCTTAGACTCCCGTACAAAAAAGGTTACCAAAACATTACCAAACATAAAAGTACAGAGATATTACAGGTGGGAATTGCAAAATATGTAATAATTCGATAGTATTGTGATATTTGGGCCACCATTCAATCTTAACATATTGCAGGATTACGATTTGATTATGCGATAAATTGCGAATCATGCCTGTTGTGCTTATTTTTTGTTATTTGTCTCTTGCGTTTCAATGCAGATTGCAATTTTAGGTGAAAGACAGAAATATCACAATAATATCGTTATAGCAATACTAAAAGATCTGCATGGAGGAATGGGCCAAAATATCAACTACTGTGTGTGCAAACCTGGTAAAGTAATCGTTTGACCTCTGTTATTGCCAACAAAGGTTATAATACAAAGTATTGAGTTGAATTTCTGTTATTGACCAAATACTTATTTTCCACCACAATTTACAAATAAATTCTTTAAAAATCCTACAATGTGAATTCCTGGATTTTTTTTCACATTCTGTCTCTCACAGTTGAAGTGTACCTATGATGAAAATTACCGACCTCTGTCATTATTTTAAGTGGGAGAACTTGCACAATCGGTGGCTGACTAAATACTTTTTGCCCCACTGTATATATTGATGACCTTCAAATGAAAATTGAAAATTTGTTTGTTGTTCTTGTTGAATGTTAATGTGTCTGTTTTGTTGTCTTTAATAAAGATTTTTTTTTGAAAAATATATTTATTTATTATATATGTAAATATATCCACCGCCCGGGGATATTGTCGGGCGGTGGAAGGAATACTTTGAGGTTCTCTTCAATCCCCCCGTCACGTCCTCTGTTACAGAGGCAGAGGCTGAGGATGTTGGGGCGGATACATCCATCTCCCTGGCTGAGGTCACCAAGGTGGTTGGCAGCCTTCATGGTGGCAAGGCTCCGGGTGTGGATGAGATCCGTCCTGACTATCTAAAGTCTCTGGATGTTGTAGGACTGTCTTGGCTGACACGTCTCTGCAACATCGCGTGGCGATCGGGGGCGGTGCCAATGGAGTGGCAGACCGGGGTGGTGGTCCCTCTCTATAAGAAGGGGGACCGGAGGGTGTGTTCCAATTATCGTGGGATCACACTCCTCAGCCTCCCCGGTAAGGTCTACTCCAAGGTACTGGAGAGGAGGCTACGGCCGATGGTCGAATCACGGATCCAGGAGGGGCAGTGTGGTTTTCGTCCCGGTCGCGGAACACTGGACCAGCTCTATACTCTCCATCGGATACTCGAGGGTTCATGGGAGTTCGCCCAACCTGTCCACATGTGCTTTGTGGATCTGGAGAAGGCGTTCGACCGTGTTCCCCGGGGTGTCCTTTGGGGGGTTCTCCGGGAGTACGGGGTCGGGGGTCCTCTGCTGAGGGCCATCCGATCCCTGTATGACCGGAGCCAGAGCTGTGTTCACATTGCCGGCAGTAAGTCAGACCTGTTCCCGGTGAATGTTGGCCTCCGACAGGGCTGCCCTTTGTCACCGGTTCTGTTCACTGTATTTATGGACAGAATTTCTAGGCGCAGCCAGGGGTCGGAGGGGGTCCGGTTCGGAGACCACAGGATTTCATCTCTGCTGTTTGCGGACGATGTTGTCCTGTTGGCTCCAACGAACCAGGACCTGCAACATGCACTGGGACGGTTTGCAGCCGAGTGTGAAGCGGCTGGGATGAGAATCAGCACCTCCAAATCCGAGGCCATGGTGCTCGGTGGCCACTGTCGCTTTTTTGAGAGTTGTGTATGTGTTTTCTGTGTGGAAAGGATTACCTGATGATGGTGTGCATGCCTCGGACCTGCGGGGTACTGTCCAGGACATTGAGGGTCTGGGGGAGGGGCTGAGCCTGGTGCGCCGAGGCAAGAGCCGCCCTGTTACCGGGACAACAGAAAACAGGAAGAGAGAGAAAGGGAAAGAGGCCGATGAGGGCAACTTGAGGCAGGTTCAGGATCACTCAGCACACGTGTATGTAAGGATCATTCAAACACAGACGGAGGTGAGGGGAACGCGTGCAGAGGATCACAGCAGCGTTAGTGTTGTCGGAAAATAAAAGTGAAATTGCAAGAGTCGACACAACCGAAACAAAAGTTGAGTATTTCAGCGAGCAAATCCAAAATAGCCTCAATAGTGTTTTAAGATAATTCTAATAGTGTGTTATGAATTCAACCAATTCTTTAGAACATCAGCAACACATGGACTAGCACAATAAATGTAATTGTTCAGATATAATTCGTGGATTAAAATGTGTGTTAAATGGATGATAAAAAAAAAAAAAAATCAAAGCCAATATATACAGAAGAACGATAAGAATTTTGTTTGCATTTATAATCATTCCTGTGTCTGCTGATCTAATCTAATGTATTGTACTTTTTGCGTATTAAAAATCATGCTGAAAGATTATTTCAAACTGTATCAAAAACACATGCGTCTGTATTATTGTATATTACAAGCTGGGGTACCTACTTTTCTATTACCATAAAACGTAACTATCTATAACTAGTTTCTAGCTCCATTTGGTTGAAATATGGAACCAAACCTGTATTTGTCAAACTTAAGGGCATGTGTCTGTTGCCATCTGCGTTAACATATATATGTGTGTGTGTGTGTGTGTGTGTGAGTTTGTGTATTTTATTGTAGTGTGTGTCTAAAGGCTGGAAGAGAATTGGATTAATTTAAGTTCCAATCTCTTTTCTAGTCATGTACAAGTACTTCTTGTTTTTATTATCATTTTATTCTATTCTTATGTGTATTATTGTTTGTGTATCTATCCACAACCAACTGAGCCACTGTCGCTGTTTGCATATCTAGTAATAAATGAATAAAACCTCTCTGCTAAAAGTGTCGAATAGTGACTCACGGGGCTCATAGTGACTCAAGTATGCAAAAGAAATTTATATAATTTATGAACTAAGAAAAGTTAGGTATCCCAGCTTTAAAGTTGCTTTCAAAAGGTCAAGATTGAGCATAAATATTCACTGCACGTCACTGAGATACTCCTCAGGCAGGGGCAAACAAAAGAAAACCATATGAAATCTGCTCACATATCCCAGCGCAGTTTCCTCTATGGGAGAGACGGAAATACAAGGGACAGACACAGGACAGACACCAGACAGACACAGGACAGACACAGGACAGACCAGAGAAATAATCATGAGACTTTAGGATGAAGGAATTATGTCAAATGTATCAGAAAGTCAGAAGTCGGTAAAACAGTCAGTTTTTAATTTCAATCATTTGATAAATCATCTTTGTTCAGTCTTGTGCAAAGGTTTAGGTAAATCCTAATTTGGAATTCAGAATGAATCAATTATTATGTTTTTTTTTTAAGGGTTGGCTGGCTCACTGCAATAGTGTCTGATAACAATAAGTGAGTTTCCTTCAGGTGCTCCGGTTTTCACCACCACCCAAAACAGGGCAGCGTCGGCTACAATGTTGTTATCATTATTTTTTTAAATGATAGCTTATTTGAATGAGGACAGCACACATAAATCAACATTGCTGTAAATGTACCAGTATTAACTTAACAGCTAGTTTCCAGCTGTAGGTGTAAAATGCCAGGAAAGAAGAAGTAGTTAGTAATTGTTAGCAATAGTTGTACGAAGTGAATGACTTCTGTGTTTAGTGTTTTGAGAGACTTCAACAAGAAGGCTGTATGGCTCATATTACATGGGTATCGGTTCTAGGGATGTAAAAAACTATGAATTTTCATGACCGACCAGCGAGCCTCGTTAGCCGGTTGAAACCGGTTAACCGGCACGGTGGCTGAGTGGATAGCACTCTCGCCTCTCAGCAAGAAGGTCCTGGGTTCGAGTCCCGGTTGGACCAGGGCCTCTCTGAGTGGAGTTTGCATGTTCTCCCCGTGTCTGCGTAGGTTTCCTCCGGGTGCTCCGGTTTCCCCTACCACTAAAAATATGTACAATAGGTCTGGCATGTGCCTCCTGTACTGGCACCCCCACTCCCAAAAATAACAATTGTAAACCGCTTTGAGACTCCGATGTGCAGTGAAAAGGCGGTATATAAATAAAAGATTACTTACTTACTTAACCGCGTAGTTTTAAATATTCCACGTTCTTTGAAATAACAGCCATTTCGAGCCGCATACTTTTCATTAGTGCAGCTCTGCGTTCTACTGGATCAGAGCCGAGACAGCGGCACCAAAACCCAAAACAACTTTGCGCACAGAGAACTGCTGTTTTAATCTTCCCGTTCTTCTGTGTTGAGGGTTAAAGCTCTTTAGCAACAAACAATGGCTCATTCACATGGTCAGAGCATCTAACCCGCACAAGAGTATGGATGATGCGTGTGGATGTTACGTATGAATGAAACGGGGAAAAGGTGCGCGAGTGTGAAATGGCACTTGTGTGTGCGTGCGTGTATGTGTGTGTGCGTGCGTGTGTAAATGTGTGTGTGTATGTGTGTGTGTATGTGTGTGTGTGCGCGGCGCGTGCGGCATGAAAGTCGGCTCGGAGTTTAATACATTGGCGCACACAACTAGAGACAGACCCGCTCGTCACATCGTGCAAATAAGAGTTTAAAACAGCGTTATGAAGAGACCTCCCCTCTCCCCCTTTTCTTTTTTTAACCGACAGCTTTGACCGGTTAACGCTGTGACGGTCAACCACCGGTTAACCGGTCACCAATTTACATCCCTAATCGGTTCCCAACATCGGCCGCTCCAACCACTGACTCAAACCTTGTGAGGTCATTGCCAACAAAGTGGGTAGACAAAATATTGAGATGGACTTTTGTTATTGAATAAATACTTCATTTTCACCATAATTTGCAAATAAATTGTGATTTTCTGGATAAAAAAAAAAAAACGTTTTTGTCTCTCGTAGGTATACCTGCAGTATGATGAAAAGTGGGAGGACTTGCACAACTTATGGCTGACTAAAAACTTTCATAGGGTTATTTTGCCGTACACAAATAACCCAGTAAAAAAAAGATTGATTTTACGTGTGAACGCAGCTGAAGTGACTGCGTGGGAGACGTCACTCAATCAGAGTAAAAAGCTGGTATTTGAGCTTTCAGGCCTCAGCACATCCTGTCACTAAACACACACAGTGCACACACTTCCTCTCTCTCTGTCTCTGACCAACAGTCGATGGAAAATGGTATCGCCGCATATTGGAAAGTTTCTCTGCGGGTGAGATGTGCACAAGTTAACAATAGCTTCCTCTGGTGAACTTTTGTCACTTTGGGGTTGGCACAGAAAGAGGTCAGTCCCTTTTTCGTTTTGCTGTATTTTTAGAAACCAGAGACAGGGCGGGCGTCACTTGTCATATTTAGTACTATCTAAAAGAGAAAGACAAGGTTTTTTTTTCTTTTTCTAAGAACGCTTGTTGCAGAGTTACAAAATGTTACGTGGAAGCTTTGAGTAGTTACATGTGAAAAAACTGGTCAATTGAATGAACGTTGCAGTGCAGTAAGGTGCAATATAAAGGAAATTGTGCAAGAAGATGGAATGCAGACAACAAATCAGAGTGAAATATTAGTTGAAGCCACAAATGTAAATGCTTTACTTTAGATTGAACAGAGACAGAACCTGCTGGCACATGACATATCCGATTTTTCACAAATTTAAGTTTATAGTGCATTGTCAAAATGAAATAATATAGAAGTTGAAGTTATCATCCTTAAGACTGTATGCTATAGATGTAATAGGTATTTCAGCCTAAAAGGAACTTAGATATAGATCATAAAGATATTTTTCCACAATTCATGCCAAATAAAAAAAAAATTATATTTAATTTGTTTGCAGTGTACATGGGGGATGGAGATTTTCTTTGTTTCCTCCAAGGCGAGATACGGCAGAGATAAAAAGGTTGGAAAAGGAAAGTGAGAGGGGCGGTTGTGGAGGAGAGAAGCACGGAGGAGATAAAGACCACTCTACCTGACGCTGAGTTCACGCTGAGGGCCGCGGGCGAGCAGTGGGGCAGAGTGAGCACACAGTGAGACAGCAGCTATATGTGAGAGGCTAAACTGAGACTATACTGCAATGTCTGCACTACGGATCACTGCTATAATGGTGTTAACCCCTTACTACAGCGGTGTGCCTGTCCAGGAACCACAGCATTTTTACTGATTTAGTGTCAAATCAAACAGTCTGAATGAACCTGGATCAGTTTTAGATCCAAACAAACTCCAAACTTAGATCCAAATTCACTAATTGCTCACTCAAGTCCAGCAATTTTCAATAATGTGAATAGGGATTTTACATTCTGTCAGTTCTTTTCTTTATTACAGGTCCATCAATCTCCATTCCAGTGCTATTTGGTGAATTAATAAGAAAAGTTTAAAAATGTAGTTATTTTACAATCAAATAGATCCAACCCACCAGCATTACCCTTCTTTAAATTTGAAATTGACAATCAAGGCGGATATAAGAGTTTGATATTTCTCTGTGCAGAGATTATTCCCACTTATAATTGGGGTAAAGGAATCACGAGAGGCCAAAACTGCAGGGCCTCATTTTCACATAGATCACAGCCATTTGCTTGTGCTCCAAAAGGTTCTCAAACAAATTCTGTTTTTACCAAATCTGTTGTCAGTTTTAGTGACTATTGGAGGTATTTTAGAAAGAAACAGTAGTAAGGGGTTAAATAAAGACTAAAGAAGTATATACTAGAACAATATTTACAGCAAGTATGTTTTCATCTGCATCATAAAAAGTCTGTGTCTTATAAAGAGTGTGTGGCTGTGTTTGTCCACCAGAGGGAGCACTAGAGCACAATGTGGGAGTCAAAACTAATAGATAACTTTACCTTAACTTTACATAAAAACATGGATGAGTATGTAAAGTACAAGAGGTTGTGGTTGTAGTTTGATCTGTAACTCACCTCTTCAAGCTGACTGTGGACATGCTGCACGATTAAATCAATCGCAACCATATTGCAGCCACCTGTAAAAACACAAAATAGGAAGTTATCGAGCTTGTCACAATTAATAATACATTTTCAAACTATAAGGATTCCCAGAGCCGTAATTTTGACATTTCCCCAAAGTTTTTACTTTTTCATAAGTGATGAAACTGGTCATAATTCCTAAAATACAGCAAAAAAAACTCCTCACATTTCAAAAGTCACAATATTATGAAGACCAAGAATGTACATGCGATAGAAATAATTACACTTAAGCTGGGGTTAAATACGTTCCCTGGAGCAGTGTTTGTGTGTGTGAAGTGACGGCCGCACCTCGAGGGACCACGATGTCGGCCAGTCTCATGGTGGGCTCGATGTACTGTTCGAACGCCGGCTTCACAAACTTGTTGTACTGTTTGATGACTCCTTCGATCTCTCGGCCTCTCTCTGTGATGTCTCTGCGGAGCCGCCGCACCAGACGGATGTCCGAGTCAGTGTCCACGAAAATCTTCATGTCCAAGAGCTGAAGCAAAAAAACAGACCATTGATTTTAAGATTAAGAGGTCCTTTATTTGTCCCACAGTGGGGACATTTCAGTGTTGCATCACAGGTTACAGAATAGTAGGAATGAGGAGCACACGGCAAAAGATAAATGAAGAATAACTATATAAAAAAAATAAGATCTCTAATTCTAGCATGAAAAGAAGCAGCATAAAATCTCCATCTTTAGCAGAATAAGGAACAAAGTCTTAAAGTCTTCAGCTTTAGCATGATGAAGAAGCAAGAATTAAGTACAATAACCCCTGGCTTTAGCAGTATAAGATGCATCCATCCATTTTCTACCCTTTAATCCATTTCTGGGTCATGGGGGTGGCAGTCAGAGATGCCACCCAAGTCTCATAGCACCAGCCCCTCACTGACCCTCTGCAGGTGGTGAGTCTACAGGAGGACGGCTGCTCTCTGAGTGTGAGCATAGCCTTGATCTTTCAGTGGGGGCTTTGGGCAAAGTGGGGTTAAGTGTCTTGCCCAAGGACACAACGACAGCAGTCATCAGTGGGAGTCGGTGGAGAAGGTGTAGAGGCGGGAATTGAACCCACGACCTTCAGGCCTGAAGGCCAATACTCTATCAACTGAGCTACTGTCGCCCTCAAGTATAAGATGCAGTATAAGTAAAGTGACAGTAATACATGTGGTTCTGTGTTCTACATTCTGACATTATTAAAGTTGTTATTGCGCAGATGAATGAAGTAAAGTGACGGTGACACATAAAAGAGAGAATGTTAAGATTGCCAGAGGACATGACTGTCTACCTGCAGAAGCTCTTTGTCTGTGAAGGCCATGATTCCCTCAAAGATGATCACACTGGCTCCATATACGGTTTTCTGTTGGCAACACAATCACAGGGTCAGAGAATACTTTACCAGAGGAATAAAAGCTATCACAGAAACACTTAATAAAAGGTGACCATCTATTAACAAAAAAATATTTCTGACACATTCACTCACATTATTAAATATCCTGTAATACAGATAGTATTATATATAATATAATCAATTATATATATACTTCAGCTAAAACAAAAAGAGGGTATTCTTTAAACCCTGGGGTGGGTAAATTTGATCCGAGAATAGCACAAGGGTTAACCATTATTAATCTTTGAGAAATAAATAAAACTTATTATTGTGTTTAAAATTGTGAAAAATACTTCCTATCACATTCTGCTTTTCGTTTAAATACTGACCTCAATAAACCATTATTGAACAAATTAATCAATAATTAGAACATCACATTGTTATTTGATTTTATTATGCATGTCTTTTCATATTTAAAAAAAAATGTGTTTGCCATGTATCCAAGTAAATTCCCGTTTGTGAATTCCTGTTATTTCCAATATAAAGAATTTTGCTCCAGATTCACACGGTGATTCTGATTTCAAATGATGGTCCTGATTCTGATTACAAACCAGAATCAGGAGCAGAATTGAGGTCCAGGTGTCCTTACCCAGTCCTTTTGCCTCCCGTGCGTGGTGAAGTCGTACACTGGGATCTTCACACTTTTTCCTTTTTTCAGTTTCCGCAGTGTGTGTGTGAGCAGCGAGAAGTCAAAAGCATCGGGGTGGTCAAAGTTGTAGTCGTTACTTGCGGCAAGAACTTGCTCTTCTTTGGACAAAACCTGAAAACAGATCAATTACAAACTCATCAAATTCATGTCATATAAACTAAAATAATCTTTGTTCCCCTTTGCACCAGCCTTGTATCAAGTTTGTACTTCAACAATACTTTGTAAAAACATCAGTCACACCAGATCCTAGCTCTCTCAACACAGTTTGGTCAGTCACTAGTTTTCACATAAAGAAAAAAAAGTAAAAGTAAATCAGGTTTTATTTATACAGCACATTTTACAGACCAAAGTGCTTCACCATTGTTCAGAGTTCAGATAGTTATTCCATTCTTTTCAAAGCCCCCAATCAACACCATCCATTCACTCACTCATTACATTCATAACTATTGTACATGTTTTTAGTGGTAGGGGAAACTGAAGCACCAGGAGGAAACCTGCGCAGACACAGGGAGAACATGCATTTATTGGCATCACATTTATCATAGACATAAATCCACTATAAAGTTAACTCTTCATTAATGGATCCAATGAGGAATATTGAGTTGTAGTATTAGTTGTTGGTTAATTAAGACTAAAAAGGGATGTTGCTGTGTTTTGTTTGAGTGTTTTGTTGTTGTAAAAACCCTTTTCAGCCTTCACTGTGGAATAGGGCCAGACCTTTACAGCCTCTGTCCTGCAGCTACTTTATATTCAAAACAGGAACCTTTAGTGACACTAGTAAAACAGTGACTTTCTTACAACACTTAGATTTATCTACTTCCTCCACTGTGCAAACCTGGACATAAAACTGCACTGTCTGTGTTTATGTAGACAGTAATAACTAGCAAATAAACACATTATTGTCAGTTTTATTTACAACTTGTTTACAACTCATTTTATGTTTTGACCAAATCAGTCCAAAAGTTGTAGTCTACTCTCTTGGCATGGAAGGAAATGTTTACCACAGAAACCAAATTACACATTTGACTCTGCTAATCCAGTTATAGTCACAGTTCAGTGCGAATGCAACCAAACAATAGGGAGTGGCTCTTTGAAAAAACAGAAACTGGGCGTTGATAAGAGTCCAAAGACTTCATTTGGCCACTTGATTCAACAAGTTCAAGATTTAGGATAAGATTCTACAAGTGTAAACCAATCTGATCAAAAAAAAGAAGGCACTTGTAGAATGAGTGATAATTAAGACTGAAAAAACGACTTATGTTAATAGTATAAATATAAAAATTGAACTAATTAGAATTATACTTAAAAGAGGAACTAAGAGAGGATAACTAAGGAACAGACTTCTACCTTGCGATGGACAAAGCAGATCATGTGAGAATGAGTGAGTGAATGTATGTATGTATGTATGTATGTGTGTGTGCATGTTTAGGTGGGCCGACCGTATATCTCAACACAACATATTCCTGAATTGACATTTTTATGAAGCACTTAGGAATTTCACAATATTTTCATTGTTTTTTGAACCTTACATAGACTTAAACATGCAGAGAAGAGGTTTTTGATCATTCTAAAATTGACTGGAGAATGTATTTACAATGTGTTGCATTTTCGAGATGACTGTTATACCTGTATTACAACATTAATCCTACTCAAAAATAGTAGTTTATGAACATTTATGGACAGTTTTGGTCCAAATTATAGCTCCATTCACACTAATATCAGAAACTTCTTTCCCGTTCTGGCTAAAAGCTCTTGTCTCATTCTTGTTTTTCAATCATAGTTTATGCCTATTAAAACAAAAGTATTGCCTCCAAATCAGTTTTGGTATTTACCGGTGCACAAGTTGAATTAACACAGCATGCAATTTTTGTAGTTGGACTTTATGAAAGTAAGTCAACGCCTTCCTTTTCAAGTAGAAGAGAATTAAAGGACACTTTTTAATTATAATGTCAAGTTAAAGGAGGAATATCTACAAATCTGGCCATAGGCGGTACTGCAACCTGTCTAACTCAGGTCAGACTTGCAATCCGGCTGGGACCATAATAGCTGAATAGACAAGAGTTTTGTCAACAACAAATCTATAACCAACACTTTTTCACAAAAGCCCTGATAGAAATCCTTGTTTTTTTCCTTGTTTTGTCAAATTTACAAGCAAATTTGAAACTAAGAATTGTGTGAACAGTCAGAAATAAACAAATAAAAGTAATTAAAAAAAACAGTGCCACAGATGCGTATAGTAGATTCTAGCCGGTGCAGTGTGTGTGCGTGTGTGTGAGATGCCACTTGCTGAAGGAGGAAATGTCATTGGTCAAAGCTGAACCCGCCCTCTGACAGTGACCCGGTGAATCCATTACATAACATTACTGCTGACACGCTACACCTCAGAGTATTTAAAAGATTTTTCCAAACTTTGTTATGGTCCTTTGTCTTATATTTATTTGAACGTATATTTTAGTATTTTTTATCAATTGTATTGACTAATTACAGCATGTGAGTCGCAGTTGTTTACAAAATGTTTCTCAATTGAGTTGATTTTCTGTTCATTTTTTATATCTTTATTTTTTATGACTTTTTTTTTTTTTTTTTATGGGATGAATTTTGCTTTTAATTTCAATAAACCCAAAGCTACCAGTAGCCATTTTCAGTCGCCTGGCAACCAACATTCTATGCAGTTAAACCCAACTTTTCTCCAAGCTTTTGGTCCTGGACTGGTTAAGAATTACTTACTTTGATTAAAAAACGGGTGGAAAACAAACATTTTGGGGAATTTCTCTGAATTTCATTGATTTGAATAAAAGTTGGGGGCGTTCTCGTAGAACTCCCAAGTGGACTTAAAACTTTTTTTCTATTGGTACAAACAATGTATTTAAAAAAAACAAACAAAAAAGTCTCATGCTTCAGCTCTAAGTGGAGAGGTGGATAGCTGTAGCTGAAGTAATCTGCACAAACCTTGTAAAATGAATCCATTGAAAGTAACACGACCCATGGAACATCAAGTGCTTCAATGATTTTTCTGGCAACGGTGGTTTTTCCTGAAGCGCTTCCGCCGCACAGTCCTGGAACATACAGAGCAAGAGAAACTATCTTAACTTATCTTAGACATTTAGGCTGCTGTCACAAGCACAACCTAACAAGCCCAGTTAAAGCGGGCCTAGGTCCAGAATAAACTCCTCTTAACACCCCTGTGGCAATGATACGGGCCACTTGGTTTAGTTCGCTTGTGAAAACCTAAGTAACCGTGCTTTCATAGTATGAACACCTTGAATGAACTAATACTGAAGGGTGCCGCCCTTAAAAAAGAGACATGGACCAAACATTGCAATGCGCAGCCAAAAGGCCCAAGGCAGATCAGAGTAAGTGAAATAAAACGGGAAGAAACAGAGACCAGATCCGCAGGCCAAACAGAATCATTATTATGTCAATTATTTTCAGCAATAACAGAGCAACAGAGATATATGTGTTGCTATAAAACGTAAAAACAAAGACCATAATTTTCAAAAATATTAGAAAACTTTTTAGACTGGACACATTCACTACTAAACATAAAATGCTTTCTGACAGCCAAAATGGATTTAGGTCTGAAGGATCAACAGCACTAGCAAAAACTGAAGCTAATGAATATATTACAAACTCTCTTGAAAAAAACCATTATGCCGTTGGAATATTTCTTTATATTAAAAAAAATATTATGATACCATCAACCAAAAAACTAGATCGATATGATATCAGAGGCATTGTGTAGAACCAAATCACAAGTTAATTAAAGAGCAGGCACTCTCTGGGGCGTAGCTCCCTTCTCTGTAGTAACCCTCACAGTCAAAGTGTGGTGCGATCACAACAATACTCTGGACTGCGGCTCAAGAGTGGGGCTCTGGGGCACACCAACATCCCATGCACTTGTTCTCTGACTCGCTCCGGTCGCCTTGCTCATATGCCAAACTTAAAAAAAACTTTAAATATAAAGTACAAAGTGGCTAATAACGTACTACCAGATAATATTCAAAACATCTCTAAGGGTCGAGATTGGAGTTATCAAGGGTTAAATAACTACAAAGTCATCAAAGAGGAGATTTTGCATTTCATTTAGCAGAGTACAAATATGGAACAGGCTGTGTAGAGAATTGAAACAATGTCCAAATATAAACTGGGGTAAGAAAAGACGGTGCTGCTACTATTATTGATGCTGCTTCATTTTATTTTATGTGTATGAGCATGTATGCATCTATGTGTATTTATGTATACATTATAGGGCTGGGCAAAATGGCTGAAAACGATATCACGATATAAGTTGATATCAATAATTATTATTATTTATTTTTTAGTCAGTCCTGGTTTAATTCCGGTTTAGTCCCAGTTTAGCTACTGTTTTGGCCGTTTTCGAGTGTCTTCAGTCTTCTTGCTCTGACCAGCGTATGTCCCGGTGACCACTTTGTGACTATATGATTGCCACAAGTGCTCCCAGAGGAAAAAGTTGATCTTTTACTTTCGCCGCATGCTTTGAGTCGCCGTTCCCACTGCCTCTGCACATGCTATTCCTCGCACGGACGTGCATAATCATTGACACAGCAATGAAACACGATGCATGTTCCGGACCATCTCCAGATATTGATACCCGGCCTGGTCAGGACCGGAGCGAGATGATTTTTCCTATTGTGCAAATTTTTTGTGTTAGGGGAAACCGGAGCACCCAGAGGAAACTCATGCAGACACTGGGAGAACATGCAAACTCCACTCAGAGAGGCCTTGTTCTAACCGGCATTCGAACCCAGTGAGGAAAAATAAGTCTAAAGCAGGGGTCACCAACGCGGTGCCCGCGGGCACCAGGTCGCCCGCAAGGACCAGATGAGTCGCCCGCTGGCCTGTTCTAAAAATAGCTCAAATGGCAGCACTTACCAGTGCTATTCTTGTTTAAATCATACTTACATGCAACTTACAAATGGCATATAAACTAGAGCCGGGACTTTAACAAGTTAATAAAGATTAATTAATTACACACAAAAAAGCGCGTTAAAAAAATCACGCATTTTAATCGTATGTATTTTTGCACCGCGGAACGTTCCTCACTGAATAAGTTTCAGACGGACCAATTGAACTGACGCACCAACCGGAGCTCCGTGACTTTTCTTGTTCAAAAGTACATTATTACAAGCAGAGACCAACTTTAAATTCGAGTAAATTAGACGGGAATGAGCGCTGTGTATGGAGCGATGGACTCTGTGTGTGAGGAGGAGCAGTGACTCCTGTGTGAGCGGAGGAGGAGGAGAAGGAGAAGGAGGAGCGATACACAGGTGTGTGAGCTGCTAATGCTGATGTTTACTCCGAATGCACACATCAATATTATAAAAGCTTTAGCAAACAGCGCATGCCCAGCTTTAGTGCTCACAGCGTGTGCAGTGGATTTTGGGCTTAAAAAGAGTATGTTGTCGTCAGTGTGAGGAGGAGGAGGAGGAGCATATGTTGTCGTCAGAGTGTGGAGGCAATGACAGAAACGTTATTTGATGTTTAGAAGTTATCCCTTAAACTCCATATTAACATGTGTTGCTTAAACCTCATGTATTCAGTCATTATTCAATGGTAAACTAAAAATCCATGTGAAAAAAATTACTTCTCACTGTTCTCAGGTCAAATATTTATATGCGATTAAAATGTGATTAATTGCGATTAAATGGGACTGTCTTAGAAGTGATCATTTGTTAAATTTGAAAAATGTGCACTTAGAGAAAATATAAAAGTTTTTCCACAAAATAAATATCATTAATTATTAGTAAAAACATAGAATTAAAGGTAAATTGAGCAAATTGGCCATATCTGGCAATTTATTTAAGTGTGTAACAAACTGGTAGCCCTTCGCATTAATCAGTACCCAAGAAGTAGCTCTTGGTTTCAAAAAGGTTGGTGACCCCTGGTCTAAAGTTTCTCAAACTCTTGAAATCAGACTGAATGGCTTTTTCCCATTGGCAGAATGAACTCAAATTAAAATAAAACATACATCTTTTGTAGTGTGGCACAAAAAAACAGGTAAAAAACACATATAAACCCCAGAGCACTCACCAATAACGAAGGCCTCTTTCGATTGTGTCCCGTGCTCGTTGTACCAGGGCGGGCGTCCGGCTGTGTAGATGGTTCTTTTGGAGGTACGGAGCAGCGGAGGCTCGGACTTGCACTGACTCGTGGTCCTCTTCCTCGGGGACAAACCGCTGGTCACAGAGGGGAGCAGCCGGTCCAGGGAGCCCTCGCCACTTCCACTGAGAACACAGCAAAACACAAAATATATCCATTAGAGGAGAGTGTTGGCATTCCGATAATGTCCCCACTGTGGGACAAATAAAAGTTGTCTTATCTCATTGTCTATCTTTAATTGATTAATGGTTCCTTAGGTTCAACCAGTGGGGATGGGTCCCAGCTCAAAAAAGTCCATGAGCATATGCGCTGACATGGTATGGGTGGACCCGGAAAGAGAATTACCCAATGCTTTTGTATGCCACCTTCTTTCCCCTTGAAAGCGGCTTCACAGGATGCTCCAAAAGTTGGCTCTTGGCAATGTTCCAGATGTGTGTCAATGCTGAGGGGAGTTTTTTTTGGGGGGCCAGTTGAGTTTAGCCGCTGTGGACTTTTGAATGCACTCGTTAAATGAATGGGGCTCATGCCGGCTAACGAAAGCGCAAAATATGTTTTTTCACATTCTCCTGCCCCGTGGCCATTTTGAAAAAGCCGATAGAAGGCAAAAGTGGTGGCACATTAGTCTCAATGGTGAAGATAATCAGTGTTGTGCATTCATTGAACACGCTCATTTTTTCGTGAACGTTGAACTGAACGCAACACATTTTTTTATAAAGAACTTGAACATGATTTAGTTCATATTATGTGTCATGAACGGCAGACAATTTGTTTTCCATTGAAAACTGAGTGATATCTGTTTTCTCTGTTGAAACGCAACAAGAGAAAGTTCCTTCCTCCTGTATTCTCTGCACTTATTCCGCCGAAAACAAAAAATTCCTACGGTTTCCATTGTCTGTGAATGCACCCCGACTCCGTGTTGCGGTGCGGCGCTGTATGCTAGTGCTATTCATTGGTTGTTGGACTCACATGTGCCGTGATGATAACACAGGGGTAAGTCAGTGACACAAGGCCATTTACATTTGACATAAAGTATAGACACACGCACTGCAGCGCATTAGGCCCCAACTCCACCGGGCGCGTAAAACGGACGACGGATCCGTCCAAACGTGTCCGTTTCATCTCTGTCTTCGTTATTTCCATTGAGGGTGAATGGAAGTGGCTCCACTGCCTCCAACATGCGTCCGTCCGACGCACGTCCGACACATTCCGTCAACGGAGGGTGCAACGGACGTGGACGGACGGAATAGAAACAATCCTATTTTTTCCGTCCATCGACGTATTTACATTATTAAACATGTATTGATATATGCTGTAGTCCTTGGTTATGAGTGTTTGTTAATGACAATGATTATTAAAAAATGTATTAAATTTAAATAATTGTTTCATGATCGTAAATCTACCATTTATTTTTTGCGTAATGTTAATACGCTAATCTTTAGATACACCTCGCTCTTTTTCCTCTCGCTCTGTCCCCTCTACCTCTAAGCGCTCTCTCCTCACCGCCGCGCGCTCCCATCCAAACACACACACACACACACAAACACACACCCATTGCCCACAGAGCTGCACTCATGAGAGACAGATCTCACAACAACACAGGATATGTTGGAGTTCTTTTCTCTTTTCTCTCTCCCCTTTTTCCAAATGCTTTCAATAAGTTTTGCCTCATCCATTGCGACGTCCTCGATGCTTCAATATGCCGTGCTTTGCACTGATCACAGCCACAGCTCATGCAAATCACACACCGCTTCTTCTATTTAAAACAATTCCTCACGGGGTGCTGTTAAACGCACAGCCAGAGCTCCGCCCTGCTGCAGCCGGTTTGGACACTATTCCGTTTTACGGACGTCTGACGGGCAGCAGCCAACGCGCGTCAACGGAGACGCGCCCGGTGGAGTCCAGGCCTTACAGTTTGCAGTACTTATGAGCAAAGATGGGACAACTCAGTTCCCATTGAAACCCATGTACATTTTGTCTGTTTTGGAGTCAAAACATCCTGTGCGGTGTACATATATATATGTTATACCACGTATAGTGATTTCTAGCTCGTAATGAAAAAAAAGTATTTATTGGAATATCTCACGCAATAAGTAAAATGAACTGAACTTTGAACTAGTTCAGAATTAAAATTGTGAACTTTGAACGTGAACTGTTCGCTTTGAGCATGTATGAACTGAACTTGAACTAGTTCAGAAAAGTTGTGAACTGGCACAACACTGGAGATAGGCGTGTTTATATTTAAGGTCTAAGGGTTCAACAAATTAATTGTTTTTCTATGAATTTCTATGGTAAAGTATTTATAATCCTTGATAGGCTTGATAGACCTTGTGAGATTTCATAACACTTTTAAGCAACTTTTGTTAAAGTTAAACTCATCAATCTATCAATGTGCAGAAGCCAGTACTTTTCCCTTGTTTTGTCTATCTGAAGGCCAAGCTACAAGCACACCGTGGCAGCTGCTGATTGGAGGTCTCCATGCCTCCGCTCTGTATAATACACTTGCATTCTGTTGTATCTGTTGATCGTGCTGTCTCTACCATTGACAATAAAACATGTCTTCTGTCTGAATGAAAGACGCGATCCCAGACTATGTCATCTTCTTCAACCTCTCCAATGGTTTAACTCTTCTACATGAGCAAATTTTACTGCTGGTGGTTATAAGTGGAAAAACTATTTTAAATACATCATCTTCCCGCACACCGTCTAAATTGTAAATTAAAAAGAATGTATTGGAAGTGTGACATTTCGGCGTCGCCTTTATTTATTTATGTTTATTTGAACATAGAATAAATGTATATAGAGAAAAGATAGTAACATCAAGCAAATATGAGTGGAGCGCCAGGAAGTCATCTTAAATAGGGTGTGGCAGGCACCCAAGGATGTACTGTCACCACACCCACAGAGCATTTCACAATAAAACACATGAACCACTATATACTGTATGTACATACCTATTAAAAGTGCAACTAAAAAAAAAATAAAAAAAAATTCAGAGAGGATTTGAATATACATGTAGGTTACGCATATAGAGTTAACAGCAAAAATAAAACACCAGTGCACTATATACATTTCACCATATACTCATATTACCATATCCAGAAATCTAAGAACTTATCGAAGACTTGAAAATATGGGAAAACATTTTTATAGAAATATGCTTGAATTGAAATCGTCATTCAAGCCTTTAGGAGCTAGGGTCTGAAGTATGTCGATCCATTAAGTCTCTCTCTGTTTGAGCAATCTGTCGTGGTCTCCTCCTCTGGGTGGAAGGGGGACTTTCTCAATGCCACAGAATTTAAGAGCACTGATGTCGTGGTTATGGTCATTGAAAAGTGTCTGTTGTTCCTACGGATGGTGCTCTTATGTTCACTGATTCTCTGTTTTAGTTTTCTTGGTGTTTTACCAATGTAGGCCAGGCCACGTAGGCACTTAAGCATATAAACTACATGTGTGGATGAACAATGACCATTGTTTACAGTATTGTTGCACTGAGCACAGCAGCCACAGCGGTAGTTACCAATAGGAATAGGTTGGAGCAGTGTTTGTGAGGGTTCCTTTGGAGAACTTGTAAAGGTGGCCCGCACCAGTCGATCCCTCAGATTTTGTCCCTGTTTATTTACAAAAAGAGGGGGGTCTTTAAAAGTGTTAGAGATTTCTGGGTCTGATGTCAAAATGTGCCAGTGAAATAGAAATATAGATTTGATGGCTGGAGTGTGGGTTGAAAATTGTGTGATACAGGTGACAGAGAACTTGTCTCTTAGTTTTCTTTTTAAGAAGTGCTGAGTGGAGCTTGTGAAGGGCTTGCTCAAACGCGTCATCAATCCAAGATAAGGTATAACTCGTTGTAAAAATCTAACTTTCAGATCTGTGGCCTGTTCAATGTAATCGTCAGTGACAAATCCTTTTCAAACGGAGAAACTTACTATTAGGTAGGCCTTTTTTCAAGGAGGTGGGATAGAAACTGGAAGCCTCTCAGTTTTCTTTGCGATACAGGGATGTGATGATGCTGCCATTGTACATCATGTTTAGAATTACACACTTTATATTATAGTAAATTATAGGTAGTTCTAATATTCCCACAGATGTGTACTGTGCGTTGCAATATTTAACATTTCCTCCACTGTGGGACAAAAATAAAGGTTCTCTCATGATCATCTCATCTTAAACTTTATGGCCTATCAGAAATCTAGAGATGCACCGATCCATCTTTTTTACTACCGATACCAGAGCTATGGGTATCTGTTGATACCGATATTTACCGATACCGGAAATGACCCCACTAAAATGTATTAAATAATTGAACTCTTTGTTCAAGTAACTGCAAAAGCAGTGGAAGAACTAAAGCCCTAAACTTTCCAGATAAAAATTGATTCAACATAAATGTGCAATAATGCAACTATAAAGAGCTGCTCAATGTTCACATTAAACTTTCCAACATTGTATTATACCTTATACATTTATTGAATATAAATGCACTTATATCAAATGTGTTTGAATAAAAAACTTACAAAAAAAAAAAACATGCTGCATGTAAATGTAAATAAATAATAGTACCGTAGCTTTAACTGGATTTCAGATATGTATTTGCCGACGGCATGTACCTGGGTTCCAAATGGTCGATGGGGCTGCGAGCCCAAACTGATGAACTCCAACACAATTTTGGCTTGTTGCTGACAACTTTTTGTGACGCTGCAAAGCATCAGTGTCATCTGTGTCTCGTTGTTTTCACGTCACCTCCTTTCGCTGCAAAAACTTCCCATGCTGTTTCTCATGGTGCTTAGTCGTGTTGTATTTTGCTAGTTTACGCATGACGTTGTCTGACTCGAAGGTAGTGTAAAAAACGCCGCATGAACAATGCTGATTCTTTCCTGCGCTCCATCCTTGGCTGTGTTGTTGTTGCAGAGCACCTCGAGGAAGTGACGTGTATGCGTGAGATCTGATGAATTACTTTATTTTATACGTATATGTACATTATGCACAATGTATTTTAAGACATTGTGCGGTACCTGGTATGTATTAAAAAATTTAAAAAAAGAAAAAGAAAATTGATCGGCTGCTCTCTACACAGATATCCGATCCAGTATTTTTTCTGGTATCGGCGCTGATATCGATACCAGTATCGGAT